GGATCGATTATGAAAAATTTATCTTCACATTATTATGTTTATATTTTTATTATTACAAGAGAAGAGGTTATCCAATAATATACCATTTGAAAGACTAACACAGGTACTCAAGACTCATATGAAAACATTTGGTAAAGGATTGTTTTCTGTATGCGTATGAACTAAGTTAATCACCTCTCAACACATATGCAATATTCCATAACCGAAAACTTATTAAAAGAGTCATTATTATCTAAATCTTGTTGTTTATTTTATTGAAAAGCATAACAAAACCACTACAGATTCAAGCATGTATGAAAAACAAGTTCAATGCAAGTTATTTTGAAATTTATGAAGTAAAAGTAATCAAATAGGTTGGATAAGCCACTCGATTTTCGTACACAATATAAACTTTACTGTCTCCTGTATCTCCTGACACACTATTATATCGTAGACCAGATATTGTCTCATTTTTCTTTGGAGGTCGACGCAAGGATGAATCACTATTACAATCATATACGTCTCCTGTCAAAACTTGAGCTAAAAATACTTGACGTTTCCCATTCGGTAATTGGTAAGCATAGTTGCGACTAGAATATGAAGCATTTTTAGCAAAATATGTACCAAGACCCCACATACCACTTGTACTAAATGTCATATCAAAACCGTATTCACCATTGTAAATTTCACTGGGTAGTGTACTTCTCGTTCCATGAAATAGTTCCATTTCAATTTGTAAATTAGGCATAAGACACAGTTCTTTTTTAAGTTCTCGACGATGAAATGCATAATGATTCCACATGCGTATATTTTGTACTCGTTCAATTTTATCAATTTTCACCTTATTCATAGTTTCTTTCATACGGTTTTCAATACGAGCAAAAGTAGGATCATTCTTAGGAATTTCAAGTAATTTACGTCCTTCTCTTTGATCACCCCATTCTTTAGGTATGCGCAATTCATCATCGTTTTCTACTTGCATTTTCAAGATATCTTGAGCGTATAAGGCAATTTTTAATTTTGCTTCTGATACATTTGCTTTGAAACCTTTTAATATCATCGATAGTTGTTCTGAACATTCTTCTTGAAAATTAATTTGAATTAACTGTTGTGTCGCAATTTTGATCAGTTCTTTCTTATGATAATCAAGATCTTTAGTCAGATTTATGGAGAAAGATTCTGAAATAGTGGCAGAATGAATGGCTGCTCTAATTGCTTCTTGTGCTTGTTCTACTGCTGTATCTGTAATACCAGTTATATTCCAATATTCTTCTGTCATTACTAGTTGTAGGTGATATGAATCTAATGGTTTCGGACGATAATTAACAGATTTTACTTGGTTCTGTTGTTGTACTACTACTGGATAGCGAATAATATTCCTTGTATAGTCAGTATCTTTTCTCATTTGATATCCACATACGAGTCGACTATTGAGTGCACTTGGATTCTTTGTCAATAATTGCTTCAAATCAGGACGAAAATGGATACTATAATTAACAATAGTACCACTTTTTAAATTATCAGGAGCAATTTCCAATTCTGGTGAAATTGAAGTTTTTAAATATTGTTGAAATGCACTTTCGATTTTACGTATATCACTGTCATTATTTATTTTTTCATCATGATCGTCTTGCCAACACCATTTAGCTGTCAACGGAGGCAGCTCATAGTTCATAATATCATCTTCATTGTCTAAAACTGCATTGCTATGATCGATGGCAACTTCACGTGCAAATGAATTACAAGCTGCATCATTCAAGTCTAGTAGAATAACTTTTTTTACTTTTGATTGTGGATAATCAGCAAAAAATTGTTTTACTGCACGAACCATAATATTCGTACAATCTGCTAATGGAAAACCATAGGTTTTAGAACTAATGGCTGGTAAAGCAACACTTGTATAGTTTTCCTCTTCTGCAAGTTGCAAACTTGATAAAACACTGAAGAATAATAATGGCTGCTCTTGTTGATTACCACCAGTATATTGAGGACCAATTGCATGAATAACACATTTGAAAGGAAGATTACCAGCTGTTGTCTTGACTGCTTTACCAGCAGGAATAGGTAAATCTCCATTCTTAACAATGAGTTGTTTACATTCTTGATCAAATACAGGACCAGCGGCGTCAGCAATTGCTTTATCTATACCGCCCGCATGATATAATGACCCATTTGCGGCATTTACAATAGCATCGACATTTTTTGCCTTCGTAATATCACCTTTCTCTACGATAATTGTTTGGCCACGATCATTTACAACAGCAATTATAGTCGAGCTAATATCATCATAATTAATCATTAATTTAAGACTAGTCTTGTCTGCTTCAACATTTCGAATAATAGTATTCGTTTCTCGTTCAATACGCTTTGCTAAATTATATGAATTGGTTCGCATTAAATCTGACTCGATCGATGATAATTTCAAAGGACGCGTAATGATTTTTTGTTCAATGTCATCGATAATAGAATTGATCTTTTGTTTGAGTTCAGTAACAATATTAGATTGACCATGGAGTGTCAATCCATTAGAATTTTTAGATTCCACAAAAATTTTTTGAGACTTTGCTTCATCGAGCAAGGAACCAATAGCTTGATTTACAAAACGACGAATATTTAATTGAATAGGAATGAATTCAGAGATACGATTTATCCGAGTTTTCTTTTCTTCTCCCAAATTTAGTAGAGCTTCTTTGATATCATCTGCAATCATTTTCGATCGTGCAGGTATAGTTATAGTACTTGTATCTCGATCAAATCGTATGTCAGTTTTCCATTGTTGTCGAAATTCATCGATAGACGGTCCCCCTTTTCCCCATAGCACACTAGATATGTTGCGATACTGATTTGCAGATGGTTTCCAAATAATATATCCTTCTGCAATATCTTGGCATTGTTCAGCTACGTCATCAACTGCTTCTTCATTCCGACCAACTATTGAAATAGCAACTTTTGGTGTAGTATCTCTTCTTTCAGTTGCTGTATAGCGTAAAACCCATCCTATTGCTTCACAATCATCTGAGTCTTCCATTTGTCTCAGACGTGTGCGAATAATTTTGGAAATATTATTTGAAATATCCCAACTGTGGCAAGGAAATTGTTTTTCTTGTTCGGCTAAACTTTCGAGAAAATTTTCAACACTTGATTGTGCCGAATGAATACGTGAATTAGAACCAGTGAGTTTTAAGCAATCATTATCACCATCTTCTTCGTCATTCACATGTTTGCGAATAGGTGGCGAAAAAGTTGTTATTTTTATACAATGAGTTTTTTCCAGTTTTCTGACATCAGACGAAACTTTTTTTCGGAGAAAAATTGTCATAGCTTTTGAAATAGGAAGTTGTACTTCTGTTTCAACAAAATCATTCAGGTAATTTTTTATTTTGGACACAGCATTATTTACGTGATCCTTGAATCCTCTCACTTTCACACGCCATACACCATTTTTGTAATTTAAAAAGATATGTACGATAGAATTCGCCCTAGACTGCACAAGATCATTGAGATAATATTTAATCTGAAAACATTGGTCACGAACTTTAGTATTGTTTTGTGAAGGTTTGCCTGGTTGTGGTTGTTTCAAAATGTATGTAATTTCATCTTGTGTTAACGTCCATGATTGATTGTATAAACTATAACTTTGTAATTCTTTTATGGCGTTAGATAATGAATCTTCTGAATCACTACATAATGTTACTTGTACGAATTTTTGAGCAAAATTGCGACGGTGTTTAAAATTACCGGAAATATTTGTGACATTTGAAGATGTAGTAGAAATATCACTCATTCCATCATCATCATCACCTTCTTGTTCGTCTTCGGATTGATCCAAATCAGGATCATTATCGTATTGCTTTTCACTTTCATCTTTATCATGGCCATCAACACGGTTTTTACCAGTATTCATATCATTGGTGGGAGTCAAAGAAGCGTTTGGTGATATCTTGAGATAAGAAATTCCTACAGAATATTTTTGTAAAAATCTCTTCATCAAACGTCCTTTAGCGAATGACTGTAAATATTTCTTCAAGCTATTAGTGATTGTCACATTTTGTTCATGAAGTGCTTGTTTCAGATAAGATTTTATATTAGTAATTGCTGAATTATTTCCTGACAGTAGAAGTTTACCATCCTTAACATTTGCTTCTTTAATACCTTGTTCTTTGCGAATGGTATCCAAGATTTTGACGCCGGAAAATTGAAGAAAATTATTCTGGGCACCACTCAACTCAATTATTTCTGATGTTTGTTGCTTCACAAAGTTATGAACGACTTCTTGTTCAATGTATATTTTGATATGTGAAGACGGATGTAAGTAAGAGCATGGCTTATTCGTGCAATGATCTGCGTCCGGACAAAGTTGAGTTCGACCGATCGGATGAGCTTTCGTACAATCCCATTTTCGACATTGTGAACCCCATGAACATACCTCAATACGCCTGTTCGGATGAAGAAGCTTACAATTATTATGATTGCACGAATTTCCATTAGGGCATTTATTTGGCCGATCAGATGGATGGTTAAAAATACACTCATAATTAGTGCACTGGACTCCATCATTACAAGCATTCCATCCTTCCGGATGTTCGAATCGGCAATCAGCGTTAAAACATCGGATGCCACTAAAACAATGTTTCTAAACACGAACCAAAGGTTAAATAGAGCTTTTCTGCTAACGATAAAATGTATCTATGTTTTGACTTACGGAAGATGATCGTGGCGCATGAGCAAGAAGACAACTAGACTGTGAGCATGAATCATAATTTTGGCATCTTGTATGACGATATTTACACTCACCATCTTTGTAACGACATAAACCTCTATTCGCATGAGGGCAAGGCTGACGTTCATACTCAACATCGGGAGCCTGCGTTGAACCTTGAGCAGCTGACGCTAGAATGTAGCACAACATTTAGATTTCTGCGTTTTAACTATGCTGAAGTGGGAAAAAAACGAAACACTATTGAACTATGAAATCAGCATTATAAAACTGAATATAACTTTCATACCTACTCGCGTATCATCATATGTGGTATTTTCATGTCGGAAAATTTCACTAGAAATGCTACATTCAGTTTACCATTATTAAGGAAATACATCAATAGATGTCGGCATGGTTTCTGAAGAAGACAGTGTCTACATCAAGGCCTCACAACTCCACTTACGAAGTCCTCTTAGTATTGTTTTTACTCGAAATTTTAAAGATATCCTATGTAGAATATTTGAAAACTACTTTAGAATAGAATGATCTTAATGCTTCTAGGGATACCCAATGTATCGCTACATAGGAATTCGCGTAGTTTCTTATCAGTGGACAAAAGCTTACTTGGTCGTTGCTGTGAGTTTTTGTTTTGATGTTGCGAATCCGTATCGTCTTGTGTAGGCCCAACTATAATAAATTGTATATGTAAATTAGAAAATTTTAATTTTGAGTTTCGATGCACGAATTCTTTTGCTTCCTGTTCATCCTGAAAACCAGTAATCCAAGCAAAATAAGTGACTCGTCTTTGAGTTAGTGGAATATTGATTCGTGAGGAACACAGGTCCAATGATAGAGCTAATTGTTCTGTACTGATGGAAGCTGGAAGAGAAGTGACTTTAACTCGCCACGAATTAGATTTTGAGTTTGATGCCATCGTTCTTCTATAAATTCAAGAATGTGACAAGAGAATAGTCATTATTGTCATAGGTAAGAAGAATAAAGCATGCATAGTTATGTAAATGAGGATGTGGATGGTTGCTTCTCTGCCATGAGCATCCATATCAAAAATAAAAATCTTTTATTTCGCTGCGCTACAATTTTGTTTCTTATCGCATATGCAAGCACATCGCCAATTCAAAATACGTGTTGCTCGCTTTATAAGGCGATAGATTCTCAGGCAAAGGATATCAATGCTTTTTCAGTGGTAGCTGCTCGCTTGCTAACCAAACTTCTTTATCAAATAAGTAGTCGTAGGTTATGGAAATCAATTGAACTAAAGTTCTTTTGAAGAGATTTTCTTTATATAAGTCGATATTTTTGAAGGGTGTGTGCGATATTAGTGAGTGTAGGTCATTTCTCTTTTTCGTTCTCACGCTCATCCGTACCCTACTCAAAATATCGATTTTCAGACGTGCTTACATCACAGAAAAAGAAATGAAGATATTTAACTCAGAAACTGAATCATCATAATAAAAGGAAAAAACACTTCTCAGCGCAGCATCTTTCGAGCTAAAATGCCTAATTCACTTGTATTTTTTGATGTTATTATATTAATACAAAATACACAGCGACAACACTCTCAGAGTTAATAGTTGCTTTCAATGATAAGAATCTTTCTTTTACTATATTGTTCGAGTATGCATTTCGTTCTTGTTTTTGCATGGTGCGCCATTTTATATTTACCTTGTTGTTATATGCTTGCTTTATATTCACGTCTTTTATTTCTTTTTCTTTCATTTATCCTTATTTTTACTGTTCTTATCACTGATTTAAATGACATATAAGCATCTTATACACATCCATGTTATCAAACGATGTGGACGTGGATTTGTACGACTGTCTGCTTGATCATGGATTGGAGTCCGAGTGTAGGTGTGGGTGTAGAGAGGAATTGGGTGTGGGGTTGTGGTATGGCTGTGGGTATGGTGTTGTGGATTAGAGTACTGCAACCCGCGGATCGGGTATCGGGTACGAAATGGACGGGTACGGGGAGGGTACGGGTAGGGTAGGATACGGGTATGAGTGACACAGAGATGAAAATTTGTACTCATACAATACTCTATGGAAAAGCGGGTATGGGTGGATGTGGGGTGTGGGTTGGGTGTGACTGTGAGTGTGAGGATGCGGGTGTGGGTGTGGTTGTGACTGTGAGTCTTCTCTTCAACAACATCAACATCGACACCAACACCCACCCACACCCACAGTCACCCACACCCACACCCACACTCCGATTTTTTCAATTCGTACCTACGTGGACTCAAATCAAACGCATACAAAGAAAATCGATCAAATTCACTTTCAGCCTCCTCAGTATTCTGTTGAAACCAACGCGAGTTCAGATAGTTTTGCTAGACGTCCTTTGTCAAGAACAATTGTGCAAGATTCATTAATAATGTCATACATTCATTTTCTTTGCATTTGGCAGCTGGTATAATAAAGAGTTGAGAAGTATTACTAGCTGCACAACATTTATGCGTTAGTGTAACTAAAACAGGCTGAGGAAATATTTCGAGGACTCTAATAATTTGACCATCTTGAATAATCGCTGGAATAGCGTCATAAAACGGAACACATTGTTGGATGTTCGACTACCAATATTGAGCATCGAATAGTGTATTTTCATTGAGTTGTGCACTAATTAAACTTGAATACAGTTGTGCTTTAGCATAACAAACCTCAAATATGTTGAAATCATAGGCAGCGGAACCTAGAGGCTGGGTGAGGCATGAGCCTCATCCAAATTTAGTGTCTGTAGGCTCAGCCTCACCCAAATTATGAATTAGATCTTTTTCGCACGTTGGTTTAGACTTATCTTATCAGTTGAATCTTATTTTAGTCCGAAGATTCAAACTTCTAATACATGTATTTGTATGTCGTGATAAAGAAAACTAAGAAATCAGACAATAATATACTCACTAACTATGTTATTATGATTTACAGCGACACCTTTTATCTCATTTACATAAAGTGGTATGTGTACTAGGTCAATTGTAGAACTGGCTACCCACTCCTCCTCGTTCTCGTCTTTTTTCTCTGTTTTTTATCAAAAAGTAAAGTGTACATAGAAAAACTTAGCATAGATCAATTTTTCCGACAATAGCAAATTCTTGAATGATAGTGAACACAATTGTTTTTTGTTTTTATTTTTCACAGCGAGAAAACATTAGCCCGATGAAAATACCATATGCAACTATCTTAGATAGAAAAAGAAGTAAAACGGAACTAAGTAGCAACAAAACAGGCAAACGCTGTTAAAGATGATGAAAAGTAATCGATTGAACTTCAATCGACTTTTACAATATTCAACGTGGGTAGTAGAGATAATAATAACTTGGATAGATTGTTTGATATCCCTAATTCTATTACAATATAGCGCAACATAACGGGTGTTGCAAAAGTTGCTGAAAAAATGCTAAACTATTGTATGTGAGCAGAAGGTGAGAAGAAGCTAACTCTTCTTTTGTTAGATAGAGTGCGGCTACTATTCTTGAAGGATCTGTTTTGAGAACTTTTATTCATGCATTAGTAAACAAATCAATTCGGTTTTCCTAAAACTGCTAAAAAGGGGTACTGTAAATTTTTGCAATTTTACTATTGGCTTCTTCGAAAAAAAGATCAATACCTTGCATTAAATGCAATATTTTGAACTCCTTTTTACACGTTATATACAAAATGATGTAAGTTTTGACCACATGCAAACTATTGAGAACTTGACTGTTATCATTTGCTGTTGACAGGAAAAACTAATTTTCAGTTTTGAAAATTTATGTACATCAATTTTTTCAAACTCTTATCACTTTAAATATCCATTTTCACAAGGAATTAAAGTAAGATCGACTGCACCAGATCAAGCTTTTCGCAAGCTAGAAGAATATCAGAAAAACCATACTAAATTCTTTGTCCTAAGTTAATGAGATATCTAAAAATGGAAAACTTACTGTTACAGAAATGTTCGCAATATATGTCGACATAATTTTAAGAAAGTGAGTCTAGATAAAGAAAGATTTGCTTAAGCGAAAATTTTCTCTAGGTGGTCTTTGAGCAATCGCACTGCATAGAAGTCATTTTAGCTCACAGGCATATGTCTTTGTTTACATATACAATTTGTTTACTGTTAAACATGTTGCGACCTGCTTTTTAGGAGGTTTATAAAAACCGAATAAATTTTGCTACTAGTGTATGAATAGAAACTAAGTTCTATCTAA